ACACACACCCACACACACACACACACACACACACACACACACACTGGTATGCTGCCTCCAGTGGCTGAAACATCAATGTTTTGTCCATTTATGGCTGTCTACAGTGGGTACGGAAAGTATTCAGACCCCCTTAAATTTTTCACTCTTTGTTATATTGCAGCCATTTGCTAAAATCATTTAAGTTAATTTTTTTTCCTCATTAATGTACACACAGCACCCCATATTGACAGAAAAACACAGAATTGTTGACATTTTTGCAGATTTATTAAAAAAGAAAAACTGAAATATCACATGGTCCTAAATATTCAGACCCTTTGCTGTGACACTCAAATATTTAACTCAGGTGCTGTCCATTTCTTCCGATCATCCTTGAGATGGTTCTACACCCTCATTTGAGTCCAGCTGTGTTTGATTATACTGATTGAACTTGATTAGGAAAGCCACACACCTATCTATATAAGACCTTACAGCTCACAGTGCATGTCAGAGCAAATGAGAATCATGAGGTCAAAGGAACTGCCTGAAGAGCTCAGAGACAGAATTGTGGCAAAGCACATCAGGACCTCAGACTGGGCCGAAGGTTTATCTTCCAACAAGACAATGACCCTAAGCACACAGCTAAAATAATGAAGGAGTGGCTTCACAACAACTCTGTGACTGTTCTTGAATGGCCCAGCCAGGGCCCTGACTTAAACCCAATTGAGCATCTCTGGATAGACCTAAAAATGGCTGTCCACCAACGTTTACCATCCAACCTGACAGAACTGGAGAGGATCTGCAAGGGGGAATGGCAGAGGATCCCCAAATCCAGGTGTGAAGAACTTGTTGCATCTTTCCCAAAAAGACTCCTGGCTGTATTAGATCAAAAGGGTGTTTCTACTAAATACTGAGCAAAGGGTCTGAATACTTAGGACCATGTGTTATTTCAGTTTTTCTTTTTTAATAAATCTGCATAAATGTCAACAATTCTGTGTTTTTCTGTCAATATGGGGTGCTGTGTGTACATTAATGAGGAAAAAAAATTAACTTAAATGATTTTAGCAAATGGCTGCAATATAACAAAGAGTGAAAAATTTAAGGGGGTCTGAATACTTTCCGTACCCACTGTATATCATTAATAATGAAATATTAAGTAGAATCACGCTGTATACCTTTTCCTTGACCATGTTTAAAAATAATAATAGGCTAAATAAATAATATAGTAAAGAAATATATAATTCTAAACAAGACTTATACACTTATTTTGAATAAAGTTCATTTTCATTCAAACAAAATGAACTGCTTTTTTCTATTGTAAATGATTAATATTAATTGGTAAGATGGTTATTTAGTTTAGTTGACTGTATTCTTGTTTATATGGCACCCTCACACTCTAAAAAAATGCTGGGTTAAATACAACCCAGTGCTGGTTAAAATAGGGACAAACCCAGCAATTGATTTGTTTTGACCCAGTGGTTGGGTTACTACCAAGAAGGTTGGATTAAACATTTAACCCAACCGCTGGGTCAAAACAACCCGATTGCTGGGTTTGTCCCTATTTTACCCAGCACTGGGTTGTATTCAACCCAGCATTTTTTTAGAGTGCACCCTGCACAATTTTGGGGACTACAAGAAGCTTAACTACATCTGTGCAGTTCTGCATTATTATAGATTAAGTCAAAGTTGTTTTTCTAACGAGTTTCCACCATAAATATCTCCAGACAGAGGAAACATGTATATTTTTCCAAGGAAGGAACATTCCCTATATAATCAACGGAACAATGAGCCCAGTTTGAATATTTGATGAGGATGGATTCAAACTCACCGGGGAGAGCATTGTCTGCTGATGTGGATTTACAAACTTTAGAAACAATAGTCATTGTCATATGTGAATTATTATGGAATATATTACTAAAAAATTACAAATCTGTCATCATTTGCTCACCCTAATGTCGCTCCAAACTTGGACAAAATGAATTTGTCTGTGGAAAATAAAGGGAGACGTTTATCAACTGAATTTCGTGCTATCATTAGTGGTATTTCAACACAACTAAAGTGAATGAGGGCGGATTCTGGCTATAAATCTGGAATAAATGAATAAATGTCATTTTTGGAGCTAAACAGTGCTGAGCACATGTCAGACAGTAGCCTACTTATGACGACACAGAACCAAAAAACCTGCAACTTTCATTCTACAACATAAAATTATGATTTTAGAGGAACTTTACATAATATACTCAAGCTTTAAAATATTGTAAACACTACGGGTTAGTTAAAATGACAGAGCCTGTTATTTTTGTATTTGGTATTTTCTGAAAACCTAGAGGGCGGTGCCGGTGACGTTGCGGGCCGGACGTGATGACGCAGGCAAGTATACGTGCGCGTTCTCGAGTGCATTCGGAACAAGTAGAGGACGACGAGGCTTCATCGAGGGCTTTGCTCCATACCGCCTTAGCCTCTGGAAACAGGCCCGATATTTATATTGTTACGTATTTAAGAACATTTAATCATGAGAAGGAAGCTGTTTGGCGTACTTCTCGCCGTTTGTATCGGCTGGTTCCAAGCCGAGGCTCTGACTGGTAAGGCGTCTCGTTTTTCTGTTGCTCTTTAGCTCACGAGCTCATTTTTCACAGGCCGTCTGTTGACACAAACACGACAGGTCGACTGTATTTACATTGTTTTTAACCGTACAATGAAGTAAAATACATTGAAAATGAACGTTTGAAATGTTTAAAGGCCGTTTAAATCGTCGGCAAACTGTCGCGCATGAGCCCATGGGGAAACAACTCACGCGCATAGAGCTAACCGTTATAGCAACAGCTGAATAGTTGCTTTACTCGTTAAAGCTCTTTAAGTCTTCTTAAATTCCAACACATAGGAGGTATTTATCAAAAAACAAGAGTTTATGTAGTATTACCCTAAAAAGGGGTTAGACATGTTTGTTAGCGACATAAATGACTATCACGGTGTTAAAGTACAAACCACACAAAACCCACCATGTGTATTTGCTGGTCTTTCATGTACAAGAACCTTTAATCCCAACTCGGTGTTGTTACCTTCTAAGTTACTCATTTCCCAAAATTAGAGATCTCCTCTCTGAGGATCATGCTTTTTAGTTGACCTTTAATTATTGCATGAAGGATTCATCCAAACTTTGCTAGTTAAAATATTAATGCTGGTGTCCTGACATTTTATCCAACCCGTCAGATTGTCCTACCAGGGTTTACTGCGCATGCGCACATCAGTATTGCGTCCTTTTTCTCATGCTGAACAACAATATTTAATGTATCTGCATTACTGTAAGGGTAGGTTTAGGGTTGGGGTAGGTGTAGACGTTAATAAAACACAATCTAATAGGTAGAAATATTTATTTTTGGTTTCCTGTAGCTGTATTCCTTCTAGCTACAACCGCGTATATACACAATTGCTGTATTTGCATTACTGTAAGGTAGGGCTGGGCCATATAGCAAAAAAATGTATCAACGATATGTTTCATATCGTTCGGTATCGATAATTATTGACATTTTATAACCTTTTTTTTTCAAACAAAAAGCAATAGAAAAAAAGTTTAAATGTAACCACTGTATTTATAATTAACACAATTCATTGAGACAAACAACAAGTATTTTTTGTTTTAACAATCAAACACAATAAAAATTAAACAAATATCTTAATTTCTAATGTTTTATATGCAGATTACATAGGTCTTTATTGTATAGGTCTAATTGTCTCCCGAGGGCGCAATGAGCAAAATAATGCAGCGCATTTAGCAAGTAACTATAAAAATATAAAATTACGTCTAAATTAACTCATAAAAATCAAATATAATTTCATCAATTGCATAAACAATTATGAACAAAACAGCATCGTGTATTTATGCATTACTTAATCCAAAGAGCCGAATCGCCATTCACACAGACTGCATTTAAAAACATATGAGACGCAGTGAAAAGGAATAAACCTCCACAAGTTTGTGACGTGTTTTCTAAAAGTTTAAACTGTTTTAACTTTGCATGGCTTTCTATACATCTCTTGTGTGAGACGCGAGTGCAGCAGTCATATTTGTCCGTCTAAAAATGTGCTGAATATGCGTTCAGTGTGAATGGCTTGTTTTCGGTTTTAACCCATTCAAGATCTTCTCCGCATTGAGCTTCTATATTTCTCTAATATTTGGAATGAATAATACAGCAGCGGTGCGTCTTGTGGGCTAGACTAAAAAACATTAAAATGCAACAACGTCACTTACATCACTATATCGATCATTTTTTCTATTGATAAATATTGATACGGTTTTATCGCCCAGGCCTACTGTAAGGGTAGGTTTAGGGTTGTGGTAGGTGTAGACGTTAATAAACCATAATTTTACAGGTAGCATTTTTCGTTGTTGAATTGTACTACCCACTGTTTTAATGGGAGGTAGCAAAATCTGACAGGGTAGCACAAATCGACAGAACACCGGTCCTCTTCCCTGGCAGGTCAGTTACTCCAGTGAGTGATGTCTTAAACGGGGTAAGCAGCAGGCAGCCATGACAACCAGTGCGCACTAGTTTTCTAGAGGCCTGCTGTCAAGTCTAATAAAACATCAGTTGAGAGTAGCCTGTAATCATAAAATGGAAACTGAGGGAGGCAAAACATGTTTGTCCAATCGTGAAGGCAATTTTCATCTTTTAGTCTATCCTTGTTCAGCAAAATGCTTAGCTTAAGCTCATTATAATGGTCAATCACTGGAAATGGCACAGGAATCCATGCAAACCCATTGAACTTGTAGGCGATCAACCTTTGCTTTAGGACTGTCCAAAAACAATTACGAATATTCGTCGAATTTAAAATACAAAAACGTTGCATTCGAATTTTAGGTATGCGTTAAAGAGGCAGCCTTTTCAGCGGCGCACGAGATGCGATGACGATGTAAGTGTCGTTGCATTATAATGTTTTTGGTTTGTCATGTCGCGCCGCACCGTGTAGGCGGCATCACTGATTATAATGAGTTCTATAGACTGATCTATAGATAATAAATCTCTTATAGATCAGTGGTTCTATAGTATTTTGTCGCGCCGTGCCCAGGGCAGGACTTATGGGGCCGGGGGCCCCTGGCTTGAGGTTATGTTTGGGCCCCATACCTATACTACAAATGCCCAAAATGAAATGAGCTACTTTTTAAAATGTGAAACTACAACCGCCAGTAGGTGACATCAAGTGACTGTCTTAATGAGCGAGTTGAATCCTTAAATCAACTGATTAGTTTAAAATGCTAATTCATTTAACTTCGCAAACGACTGTACTAATAGCCTGTTTGACCATTTACTGGTCCTTGTAATGCTGAGAAACAAATCACTGTGTTGCTCGGAGACGCATTGATGGGGCAAAACAGAATTTTGTGTCTGAAAGTTACTCAGTGACTTGTTTATTGTACATTTGCGATCGTACAGATATTCGGAAAAACAGGACTCTAGTTTGTGTGATAGGCTAACTCCTATATCGTAGGCATTCACTGATTAAATGCAGGGTTCGTTCAACCAATAAATTTCAATGACTTTTAAGGCAATATTCATGACCTAATGCTCCATTATTTTACACAAATGTTCGGGAAATTAATGATTATTAGTAGGGATGCACCGATATGAAAATTTTGGCCGATACCGATAATCCTTTATTTTTGAAAGCCGATAACCGATATGTTGGCCGATAAATCTATATCCAAATTTTTATATACTATTTTCTTATTGGGCCGATACCGATAACAGAAAAAATGAGCATTTATCGGCCGATACCGATATGGTGGCTGATATATCGTGCAGCCCTAATTATTAGTGCTATTTGTTTGCTTTCTTATAAGCACAGGCTGTGACTGTGCCAGATGTTACTTCTTGCAGAGAACATAAGTTACATAATCACATAACTGAATGCCAGAATATTAAGTATATTGTAATTTGCTTAGCCGGTATTATAAATTAAACTCAGGACCTGAATTTCATTTTAGAAACCGTTTTGGTGGAAAACATTCAGGTACAGAAATGCTGCAGAAATGGAATAAACTGTCAATTAAATAACAGATTAATTCCTAATTTAAGTTACAAAAATTATTCAGTCAAGAGCAGTGAGTGATTTTGTCTTTTGTTGTTAACATTAACATTTGGTATGAAAGTGACAGCAGCTTTTAGTATACCTGCTGTCTGTCAGTCTGTGTTAAAGAACAAAAGAAAAAAATCGCTCTGCTCAAATCTGCTCCTGACTAAATAACTTTCATATTTAATATGTAATTATATATAAATATAATCTATATTTATGACTTTATACATCATAGTATTTTGTTTCTGAACAGTAGCAGCTTCTGTTAGTTTTAGGCTATAGCCTACCGGAAAAAGTTAAAACACAGTTTCATTTGTATCCTTGTGCTATTGCATTGCTAGTAACTTGTTCATTTATTACTGACCGTTTAATTGTCTTTATGTAACATTATTTATTAAAATGCAAGGTTACTCGAGTCAGAAACAATGAAAACAATAACTTTTTCTTGAGGAGTTTGCGATGCGGCTTCATGTGAGTGGTCGCATGGGATGTGACCGTGAGCGCCCAGAAAACTAGTTTGGAGAGCGCGAGTACCGAATGGTTTAAAAAGACGTGCAAATGATAAACTTTTGTGATGATGCAACACTGACCCGATTAGGCAAGTGACAGTTCTGTCAGCTGAGCTAAAGTCTTGTATGGCAGCCTGCAGCAGCTCTCTTAGTGCAGATGAGATGCGCTGATGTGAGGCAATTTTGAGTGAGAGCGAGAAGACGCGGTACAGCTGAACCACTCACGCTGTTTTCAAATGACTGACTTAATCTGATATTCTGTGTGAATTTTTTTAACTCATCTAACCTACATTGTATATTAAATACATGTTTGTGGGAATTTTCCAAACGTGCGAAATCTGCAGGAATGAGTAAAACCAAAATGCATAATCCCGCACCGAGATTCAAGACATGATTAAACATATATTCTATTATATAGAGATTTGTAAAATAAATTTCCACGACTTTTCCAAAGCTTTCTGATGTTTTCATGACCATACGAACCATGTAAATGGCTATTTTCATTTTTTTTTAATGGTTTTGATGACAGTTCTGCTCCACTTTGTGTGGTGGTAGTGAGACGGGACAAAGTCCCTGCAAGATATTAGGGTATTCTATAGTCTTTGGATGGGAGAGAGCACTCAACTCTTCAGATTAATTTAGTGGAACATTAATATAATATAGAATAATCCTCTGTCAAGAATGGAGGGGTATGCGAACATGTGAGAATTTATCATTATCTTTCTAAAGGTGCACTCTTTTGGGCTAAAGGCGTAATTGAACCGTTTAAAGTAGCCATGTGATCACAAATTACTCGGCGATTCGTCGCAGCACAGACGTGATTTAATACGTGTCCTTTTTCTATGTGAAAAAATTTCCACGACTTTTCCAAAGCTTTCTGATGTTTTCATGACCATACGAACCATGTAAATGGCTATTTTCATTTTTTTTTAATGGTTTTGATGACAGTTCTGCTCCACTTTGTGTGGTGGTAGTGAGACGGGACAAAGTCCCTGTAAGATATTAGGGTATTCTATAGTCTTTGGATGGGAGAGAGCACTCAACTCTTCAGATTAATTTAGTGGAACATTAATATAATATAGAATAATCCTCTGTCAAGAATGGAGGGGTATGCGAACATGTGAGAATTTATCATTATCTTTCTAAAGGTGCACTCTTTTGGGCTAAAGGCGTAATTGAACCGTTTAAAGTAGCCATGTGATCACAAATTACTCGGCGATTCGTCGCAGCACAGACGTGATTTAATACGTGTCCTTTTTCTATGTGAAAAAAATCATAAATTCCAGTTTATGCTGTTTGATTATGGCTTTGAAGGTCGTAGTTGGAAGCTGTTAGCCCCGGCTGGCCCGGGTGCGCAGTTGAAATGCGGCTAATAATTTCTGACTGGCACATAACTGAGCAAATGCAAACTGGTTAAGGCGGGGCCCCTGGGCTGCAGCCCATTCAAGCCCAATGGTAAGTCCGGCCATGGCCGTGCCGCTTGCGTCCGGTGTAGAAACGGTGTTAGGATTCGTGTTTTCCCTTATAAGGATTCACGCTTTGGGCACACCCCCTAACTCCAGAGTTCAAACACACACACTGGAGCGTTTGGAAAATATGTTTCGCCAATATCCTATTTCTACAACTTCAACTGAGGTGCTTTTGCTTTCGTTTGGTTCCCTCTAGCACTCCAGTAGAACCGGCCCTGGATACAATTAAATGCAAAGAAATATACAAAGAGTATTTCTTGCATGTTTTTAGGCATGAAAAAGGATCAAGATCATAGAAATATAGAAGCCAAAGGTTTTCATAAAGCAGTAGTTTACCGGTAGTCACGTCAGTAGCGTGAGGGTGCTTATAGCGTCTGTTAGAGGAGCTAAAAAAAGCTAGAAATTAATTTTTATATAATTTATGATTTTTAATGAAATACGAATTTTGAATAATGGAAATTAGTTTGTCTGCTTATTCTGTTCATCAGTGTTTGAACCATTAAAGAAAAACAGCATGTTCCATTATTAATTTCTGAATTTAAAAAAAAAGAAAACTGAATAGACGCAAAAGTACACAGACCCTAAATCGGCATGAAATTAAAGTTTTGTTAAATTGTTAAAAAAAAATCCAAAATCAACAGCTGATGAATAGAACGAAGACTCCATCTTAAAAAAAAAAAACAACGTTACTGTCAGTCAGAAGGTGTTAAACGCACTAATTGGCATGCATTTCTGAAAAAGGGCTCTGATTAGATCTCATTAACGTGGCTTGCTTTCAGTAAACATCTAAAAAAGCTCTAGATGTGTGGCTTAACCCTTCTGGTGGTCTTAGAGCAGTACTTAAGAAAAAAGTATTTATTTTCCACATCAGGTTTTCATAAGCTCATGGTCTCCAAACCAGTAGCTGGTTGTTTGAATTGTATTCCCTCTTCCCATTCGTTTTCATTATAAACTGCTCACTCAATGTTTCCCAGTAGCTCACAGCCCAAATGTACCTTCACTTCTCCTTTGATAAAGCACAATGTGCCTTTCAGCGCACATTGTGGTGAACATCTGGACAGCAATGTTCCTATCCGTTCTGTCGTGTCCAAAAATTTCATTTTTTTTAATCAAACCCAGAGGTTGCTAGAGTCATTAATCAGCAGTGAGCACTTGTTTTTTTTTCTGTTAAAGAGTCGTGGTGTTATGAGTTTGTGTAACTTTTGCTACTTTTATGCCTCGACAGATGCAGCCATCACGACCCAACCAGAGGTGGTGAACGACCAGAACCAGACCTCTGCAACACTCAGTTGCAACCTTACCAACCCTTCTTCTCTCGTCAAAGGCCACTATTGGACCAATAATGGCAAGATCATTGACAAGTCCGAATCAAACAGTGATGAACTTTACATTAAACATGAGTATGTTCCTCAACCTTATGTAAATGATTGTATGACCTAAAGAAGATCGAAATATAGCGCTCTAATTTCAGTATTAATACGTTTTCCAGATTTAGTGTTTACCCATCCATCCAGGTCCATCAAGTATAGTGCAGCTTCTCAGTTTGTGCGATATACGAGATGGGAGTTGTTAGCAGCAGTAGCGTGATTTAAGCACCTCCGGCTCTCCACATTCACTGACCCTAATTCCCTTTAGAACTGCTGGGTTGGAAAAATATCCATGGGGATGCCTGAGCAGTGGACTGGAAAAGCTGTTTACTTGTATATTTCATGTTTGCTTTACTTGTCCTCCCCTCCACCTTTATTGCTATGATGCTGTTATGTTAAAAAAAATTTGTGGGTCTCATTTCTTGTTTTTCTTTCCGTGGCAGTATTAAAAAGGTTGATTACCACTCTGCTGGACTATATGCATGTGTCTTCCTAACAGAACCTCAGGTTAATGCGACCATTGAAGTTAAAGGTAAGAAAGTTTGATTGTAATGCATTACTGCATCTGTATTTGTCATGCATTACATTATATTGTGTATTTATGTGCTTATAACCCATAATTATACTCTTCCTGTTAGCTCTCCCACATGTAGTGGCCTACAAACACTCTGAAAATGCTAATGAGAAAGACAAGGCTGTCCTAACATGTGTGAGCCATGGATACCCCCTGCCTACTGACTGGAGTTGGTACAAGCTCAAAGATGATGAAATTGATAAGGTAAATAAAGACTTAACTAAACTGTTGTGCTTGTTGTAATGGCATGAGACTGGTACCTGGCCGTGCGATTTTGAAGATTGGATAAGGTGTGTTAAATGGCACTTTGGCACTTAATAGAATTATTACAATAATATATTCAACCTGTTACTACTTCTAATAATTATTATAGTACTAGTAGTTGTATTAATAGAATTGCTAAAGTATTATATTCAACTTGTTTACTACTAATAATGAAATGATCAATTTAATCGTTATAGTGGTAGTAATTAAGTATAATAACTGTTATTGAACCTATTGTCAAGTACAATATTACATAAAATATTCAATACAATATTATATAATGCATTATAATTAGGGCTGTCACGATTACTCGATTTAATTAGAGTACTTGATTATACAAAATCCTCGATTGCATTTTGCCTGTCGATTAACCGCCATAATACCGGAAGTGGCATATTCCACGGAGGAGAATCCATGAAAAGCATTTTTACAGAGTTCTCTAAGGCTGCACAAAATATTAAAACCATTTAAAACTCATAAAGCATTGTGCTATTGTGAATTCACAAAGGCTGAGATTAGGCCTGGGCGATAAAACGGTATCGATATTTATCGACGGTACACCCTCTTTAATAACGATTTTTTTTCGATATAGCACACGATATAGGCACGTACTATGAGTGACGCAGACAGCACACACATGCTGAATTGAGTGCTGTGCCTGCCTGTGATGAGGAGATTGTGAATAAAAGAAAATTAATATTAATCGAATTAAAATAAACATTTGCATTTGAATGCAAAAATAGTACAATCAAATGTTAGGTGTGTGTGTGTCTGGGAGCGTCATTCGTGGAGCGTGCGAGATGCGGTGATGATTATGTAAGTGACGTTGTTGCATTATAATGTTTTGTTAGTCTAGCCCACAAGACGCGCAGTTGCTGCGTTATTCATTCAAAATATTAGAGAAATATAGTAGCTCAGTGCATAGAAGATCCTGATTGGGTTAAAACCGAAACCAAGCCATTCACTCAAAACGCATATTCAGTAGGGGTGGAGGAAAAAAATCAATACAGCATAGTATCGCGATATTTTCCGCGGCAGTACTGTATTGATACACGGACGCCAAGTATCGATCTTTTATTATACTATTTGGTAGAATAATAAAATCAATTTCTTTACAATCCACTAGATGGTGTTGAGTTTTTTTTCTGGTGAGGTCAGCTGGGTCACCTTCAGCATGCAGTAAGTTAGTAAAATAAAGAGGGCGGCATTGCGGAAAGTTGTCAGGAAAGCCCTGCATAAATACATGATGCTGTTTTGTTCATAATTGTTTATGCATTTTACGAAATTGTTTGATTTATGAGTTAATTTAGACATAATGCACGCTTTTTTTATATAGACCGTTATTTCCTTTGCGTTGGCAGTTTAATGTGCTGCATTATTTTGCTCATTGCACCCTCTTGTGGCCTCGGGAGACAAGCCAAAAGTTTCCTTCAGACCTATTTAATCTGCATATAAAACATTAGAAATTAGATATTTGTTAAATTTTTATTTTGTGTTTGACTGTTAAAAAAAAATATATTTGTTGTGTCAATAAATTGGGTTAATTTAAATTTAACCCCTGTATTTTTAAAGTTTTTTTTTTCTATTGCTCTGTTTTAAAAAAAGGTTATAAAAAAGTCAATAATTATCGATACCGAATGATATGTGTTTGACTGTTAAAAATATATATATTTGTTGTGTCTCAATAAATTGGGTTAATTTAAATTTAACCACTGTATTTTTAAAGTTTTTTTTTTCTATTGCTCTGTTTTAAAAAAGGTTATAAAGTCAATAATTATCGATACCGAATGATATGAAACATTATATCGTTGATACATTTTTTAGCTATATTGCTTAGCCCTAGCTGAGATTCAATTAAACGCATGCGCTGGGGGTTTCACCCAAAAATTAACATTACCCCATGATTTACTCCCCCTCAAGCCATCCTAGGTGTATATGACATTCTTCTTTCAGACGAATACAATCGGAGTTATATGAAATAATGTCCAGGCTAATCCATGCTTTATAATGGGAGTGGATGGTAGCCCCAAATTTTAAGTCCAAAAAATTGCACCCATCCATTATAAAAGTCCACACGGCTCCGGTGGGTTAATAAAGGCCTTCTGAAGCGACGCGATGCATTTGTCTAAGTAAAATATCCATATTTACAACTTTATAAATCTGAATCTCTAGCTTCCGCTAACTGTCATACGCTCGTTCACGAGAGAGTGACGTCCAGAGGATGACGTAGCACGTAGGCAAACGCGGTGAAGAATGCAGAAGTGACGAACATGGAAGTGCAGAGGAGAGAATGAAACAAAACACCGGTCACGAATTAGTAGTACAAAACGAGGATTTGTAAAGAAAAATGTTGGAGAATTTTGATACAAGTCAAGAGGACACTGGTTTTCCTTTGCTGTAAACAACTTGTTTCTCGTGAGACTAGCATATTCTCACCGGAGCTTATGCTACGCCTACGTGCTATGTCATCTGCTGGACGCCACTCTCTCGTGAACGAGTGTACGACAGTTAGCGGAAGCTAGTGATTAAGTTTTATAAAGTTGTAAATATGGATATTTTTCTTACACAAACGCATCGCGTCGCTTCAGAAGGCCTTTATTAACCCACCAGAGCCGTGTGAACTTTTTATAATGGATGGGCTTTTGATAATTTATTTGAACCAATTGCTATTATGTGTTTTGCTATTATATATGTCATTTTAAAGTTTATTGTTCACTTTGGTCTATTTTTATTACCACAGATTATCTGATTACTCAATTAATTGTCAGAATAATCAGCCGATCACTTGATTACCAAAATAATTGTTAGTGATACCCCTAATTATAATAACTTGACAATTTTGCGTCCTCAACACACAGATGCCCATTGTCAATGGCACTGATGACAAGTATGAGATGAAGAACACCCCCAACAAGACCACGCTGTATGTGAAAGATCTGGACATCAACAAGGACATGGGCATGTACCAGTGCCAAGGCACCAATGAAATGGGATCAGCCAGCGATAAGATTCAGCTGCGCGTGCGTAGCCAACTGGCCGCCCTTTGGCCATTCCTCGGCATTGTTGCTGAGGTCATTATCCTCATCACCATCATCTTCATCTACGAGAAGAGGAGAAAGCCAGACGAGATCAATGATGGTATGTGACGCTAGTTGTTTCCATCGTAATGATATTTCATTTTCCATTTTTGTGAATGTATAAATGATCAGTGGATGTAATTAAAAAATTGTGTTTATGAATTCGTAATGGTGCAAGATCCTATTTCAGTTTGATTTTGTATGTTTATTTTTATTTGGCTAAGGTGTGTGGCTGTGCCTTAGCTGAGTCTATTTTTATTATTTACATTGTTTATTTCTCTGTTCGCTGCTGCTTTTACGTTGTGGTAAGTGCTCAAAACTGCATGTCAGACTGAAGTGGGTTTGCTTAAATTAGTGGTTTTGGGAGTTTGAATGCTTTCCTTGATAGGCTGAAAAGTACAACTCTTTCACTGGCAGTTTGTTTTAAGAAGATAAATCGAACCAGATTTGTCAGACTTTGATTCAAGAAAAGCAACTTTATTGGTTTTCCCGTAGCCAGTGAAAGTGTTTAGCTGAGTCTGACATATTGCAGTTCAGAATGGGTTTTAAATGTCAAGGTATTATGCATAATAGCTAAGATGACATTTCACACGGATCATGTTATACTGCCTTGCATGCTCTCTGCATCTTCTCATTGCATGATGTTCTTCAGCCCTAGATTATAGCAGTGGCTTCCTCTACGTATCTTAAGAGGCAGCACCCATATGGCACAAAGTGTGGCAAAATATATAATCCCAGCTTTATTATTTTGACAGTTTTTATCATCCTGAATGTGTTTGGACATGCTCTCTGCATGAAAACGGCAAGAGTCATTCAAACTCTGATTTAACTTTGTTTTTGAAAGTATATGTTTGTTTGGTGTCAACTCGCATCTTTAGTTTTTTTTCTGATTGTCTGTCTGAAGCACAACCTTGCCAGTAGCCAGACTGTTTCATAATATTTTATTAAAGTCTCACATATAGTGACATCGACCCCCTCAAAAATCTGTATTCTGAAATTATTATTTTTATTTTTTTAATGTATGTAATATATGATTTACTTTTTATCATTGTATTTTTTTTTCATAAATCATTTATAAATCTTCATAAAAATGTATATATTATCAAATTTATTTTACATGGTACAAATTAATATAGTATACCCAGTTTAAAAAAAAAGAGTAGACATTTATCGTGACTTGAATTTATTTTTTTTTAATAATCAAGATAATAAAGTAGAGTAAATACATGCTTAAGTAAAAAAAAAAGAAGAAAAAATAATATATATATATCTCTCAAGCCCCCACACAACTGCATGTATTTATAAAAAAAAAATTTATATATAAATGTGTATATAATTTTTACTCTTTATTATTGTTTTTGATCTTTTTTTTTTAGACATTTGTGACTTCAAACCCCCTCAAAAGGGCATATTTATAAAATTCTATATTTAATATCTTCTATATTTATTGTGTTTAGTGATTTCAAATCATGACAAACGCATATTATAAAATGTTTTATTAACATTATAAATGAATGTACATTCTTTACTTTACTTGTATTTTATGTTTTAAACCGCATATATAGTGACTTCAAACCACCTCAAATACATATATTTATTTTACATATTATAGTTTTGTAAATGCATGCAGTTTTGTAGGGGTTTGAATTACAATTTTATTATACATCTGAATATAATAATAATAATAATATAGACTATTTCTTTTAAACAGACATTTAATAGTGACTTGGTAATTACACATTGATTTATTATTATTATTGTATTGTTTTATTTGTTAGGAAGTTTCGAAACGCATTTGTCCATTTTTCCCCACCAGTTCATAAAGGTTGTGTTAGGTGTTGTTTTCATTTCCATACAGCCATTGTCATATCCATAGACTTCTCTAAATATGTGCCAGAGGCAGGACGTTTTTCTGTGGTTTCTTTTCGATAGGAAGATTTCTGGGTGATATTTTGACTTCAGAAGTCCAGTGCAGGAGTTTACAAATGTGATATAATGCTGTTTGAGAGCCTTCACCATGATCGATCCAGAAAAGGAACAATGTTTTCCTCTCTACTACATCTGTAGGTGAGGTTGTGCTACAAACAAATGATTCGATTGGAAACGTTTGTATCCTTTCAATCCATCATCAGACCGCATGGTTAATGTAAATGCATTATTCTGCATGAATCACTTAGTAGTACTGTAAAAAGATTGATAGCAGTGTTTAGATGACGTGTACATATTTAGCAGTAGAAATAACTTGAGTATCAATAAGGTTGTTCAGTCCCCAAATCGCATTACTCATTAGGTGCTCTGCTTTTAAACTTAGGGTTTTCACTGTCTTGAGGCTGTCACACTAGATTTTAGACAAGCTACTGTAACAGTTCAAGTAGTCTTGTACATGTCAACTTGAAAAATGAGTTTAACTCTTTTTCTTTTTCTTTTTCATGTGTTCCTGCTTCCTGTAGATGATGACTCAGGATCTGCACCACTGTAAGCGTTTTGTAATATCTGTTCTGAAATATTGTAGAAGTGCAGAAGTTATTTCTGCAGGAACATCAAGGCCATGTTGAAGACATGTGCTTCTAGCTCAGGAAATTCATATGCACATCAAAAATGGAACTGACATGCTGCTGTGTTTTTCAGGAAGAGCAACGCCGCTACGAACCACAAAGACAAAAATGTCCGGCAAAGGAACTCCAACTGAGAAAGGAGGAAAAGGTGAAATATTATTCTGTAAATATTATTTGCAAGTTTACTATAATATAAAAAAATATAATCTACGAAACTTAATGTTGTATATTATATTTTTAAACACTTAATATATAGTATAAATATATAATGAATAACAGTTAATATTTAATATGAATTACTATTACTATTTAATTTTAATGTGTATCTTTTATATTGCAGACTTTTTTCATAAATTAATTGTATAATATAGACTGTAATAAAATATTTCTTTAATTCTATTAAATTATTTTATGCATTTAATTTAAACCGTAATTAAATAATTTAAATATTTTTTAAATAAACCATAAATATTACATATTATAATTCTATACTTTATAATTTAAATGCTTTTATTGTGGTTTTATTTTTATTGTAGCTTATTAAAAAAATAGTTTATAATTATATAATATAATAATAATAAATATTTTTTTATGTTCTAATTAAATTTGTTCCTTTAAATGTAATATAAACTATAATTTTTTTCTAAACCATATCCAGCTGACTTTTTTCATTCCTTTCAAGTGTCCTGATGACTACTGTTGAAGAGAATATGGAGCATTGAGTTGCTGAGTAGCACATTATAGTGCACACTGCGAGTTCTTAACCTTCTGCTTGAGTGTAAATGTCTTGAGATATTAATCGGTCTCCTTTTACTTTTATTCCTATCCATATTGTGCTGCCAGCAGATGTTTTTAAATTTGGGGAGGAGGGGGAAACTGCATGATTGTATTTTTGCTGTAGAAGTGTGTGTGTGTGTTGATTTATCCTTGACACAGTTTAATTCCTGACTCCATTCATTAAATGAGCACAGAGTAACACGGAGCTTGTGATGTGCTACCAGGTAAGGGTGAGGGAGTGAACGAGTGCAGCCATAGCAACGCGACTGGTGTAGTTGTTTGGTGGCATTGGGACGCGGAGTAAAGGACTGTAGGCAACGTCTGCGCTTTCGCAATCTGGATGCGTTAGGATTCATATCAAAGCAACGCCGTCATGGACGAGGCGGAGGACGGCGATGAAGACCACAAAGAGACGCTCAGGGGCGACATCCTTGACTCTTATTCCAAGATGAAGAATGTAACGCCAGGAGGGGGAGCAACGGCAGCGGCGAGCAGGATCTCCAACAACAAGGACTTAGCCTCCGTCTCCTCTGGACGCAGCACGGAATCCACCGCGCTCCTCTGCCACGGAGATGTTTCCAGGGACAAGAGCGGGTTTGACGGCGAGGATGGCACCGGAATAAGATGCGTTATCAACGGAGACTGTCGAAGAGACGAGAGCTTGCCCTCAACCCTCTCCAAGCAGGAGAAGCAGACAGGTGGAGGCTTCCCAGCATCTGCATGTCACTCCAGCACCTCCAGCATGGACGGCTCGGTCACTTCTGCCCCGACCGCCGCACCTCCTCCCGCTGACAAGAAGGACTCCAGAGTTTCCTTCTCCAGTGCTCCACCGGCCCACGGACCGACCTCGAACCAGCAGCAGCAGCCGAGCAATTCTGTCAGCTTTCCCAAGTCTGAGGATGGCCAGATCACGGCAGATGATGCGGAAGCCAGGGACAATCAAACTTATATGCAGAGGCAGTTTAGCTCCATGTTACAGCCCGGGGTCAACAAATTCTCACTGCGTATGTTTGGAAGCCAAAAAGCAGTGGAGAAGGAACAGGAACGAGTCAAATCAGCTGGCAATTGGATTATTCATCCATACAGTGATTTCAGGTAGGGATGATAGAGTGGCACCAGTGGAGACTCAATACCTGGCTGCAGATGCTCATGTTTGAAAACAATAAAATTGAGTGCCTTTTCTGATTAAAAACTGTAAAATAAGATTTCACTAGACAAAGTAAATTGCATTTAAAATCACATATCAAGCTAATAAATAATAATAATAAAAATGTACCTTTTAAAAAAGTAACTGAGTTGACACTTTAAAATGTATTTAACCGTTTAACCAAGGTCTTAACACTTTTACAAGGTGTTAATTAGAAAGATACATTAATGCTGATATTAATTCATTCACAAATATTCAGTGTTCAGTAATCAGCTGTTTACTGTACAAAATCATGGTAACAGGGTTGACTATTTAAGATCGACCCCTACTGACAAACATTTTAAGATAAATTAACAAACAAGGAGGCACTTATGATGCCATTATTCTTTTGAAAAAAAGTAACAGAGTTCACATTTTAAAGTTTGTTTAGCCAAAACAAGGTGTTTATTAGAAAGAGAATTTAATGCTGATATTTTTATTCATTTATTTTACAAATATCTAGTGTTCAGTATTCAACTGTACTGTGCAAAATCGTGGTAACAGGGTTGACTATGTTTGTCCCCTAGTGACAAATGTAACTTTTTATGATAAAAGTAATTTACAAACAAGGAGGCACTTAAAATTAGATTTAAAAAAAAGTAACAGAGTTGTCATTGTACCTTTAAAAAAGTAACAGAGTTGACATTTTAAAGTTTGTTTAGCCTTTTTGCTCTAGGTCGTGAATTATTAAAAGGAGAATTTAATGCTGAGATTTTTATTTATTTTTTTCTCCACAAATTTTCAGTGTTCAAAGCTGTTTATTGTACAAAATCACAGTAACAGGGTTGACTATTTCAGATGTCCCCTGTTAACAGATGTAACATTTTAAGATGAAGTGATTAACAAACAAGGTTGCACATAATTATGACAGTTTTTAAAAAATTGATTTAAATTAAAGGGGGTGGGGTAACAGTTGACAGAATAAATTAACAGAAAATAAAGAAATACAAAATACAAGTTTTTATTTAAATAAATACAATAAAATAATAAAAGATCAAATTTAATTTAATAAAAATAAACATTAAATTTGTTTTGATGTTTTACAAAACGCCTGTAACAACAGAGTACTAGTTGGCATTAGCTTTGTGTCATTATTCACATATGCTGATGAGGGAAACAAAAGGCATCCTTTCCATGGAACAGCCCATAGGCCTGAATATCAAACACGCACAATGCACATTACTAATTATAATTCGTAATAAGGATTAGGACTTCACATTAATTCGATTTTTGGTAAACTGAGATTAATCATTGATGGCCAATGTACAACAGCTTCTCTAAAGCTGTTTATGTCAACAGGTGTGTGTAATTTACCAGAACATTTATGGAAATCCTTTTGCGCAAAAGCTGAATAAACTGCAAAGGGAAACAGGACACTTACTTCAAAGTTCAGAAATTATCCCCTCAGCCTCTCAGAAAAATGTATGCAATAAAAACAGTGGGAATAAAACCTTCCTATTGAGATTCATCACCAGTGATTTTTAACTGTGGTTCAAAAGTGAAGTGCTTGTTTATTGCTACAGCTCAACGATATAGTTCAATGGTTTGTTTGTTGTTTTCCCAGCAAACACTTAGAATCATATAGTCTCCTTTGTGGTCAGTGCTTAATGATCTCCCAGGACACGGAGCCAAGAGGGTGTTCCTCAAATACACTGACAAACAGGTTAATTTTATATCAAGTAACCTCCAATAAAGGCTTATATACAAGATCGTTACCTCAATTTAAGCAGTATAATGCACTTTTGATTAAAGACAGGCCCATAATTGGTTTGGCCAGTATTTTTCATTTGGTGGGTCTCCAAAGAATTACACTCAGCAGTGTTAGTACACCACTGTGCATTCAACAGGAAACAACTCATTCTATGCAAACAATTACTTTTTATGTAATAGCCATTCATTATGAGATGAGAATAAAAGTATGTCATAAAATAATAAAACAACAAATAAATATAAACAATAAAATAAAAAAGTTCAGTTCTGTATTATAAGTATCATAAAAAAAAAAATAATTGTAATAAAACTAAAAATTAAATAATGAATAAAATAATTTATTATTATATAACATTAAAACCTCAGAATCATAACATTAAACGACAAAGGATTTCAATGGCAAGTAAAATAATAATTAATATAAAGTATAAAAACACAAAAAGACAGAAATACTTAAATGATAAATTGTATAAATTAAATGATAAACTATATAAAGGACTAATTATAAAACTAATTTAAGAAAGTGAAAATACAAAAAAGTATGTTCTCTTGATGCTAAACACATAGGTTGCTACTGAAATGGATCCATAATAATGCCAATAATAATAATAATTATTATAAGAAGAAAAAAACATTATTTTCTTAAGATACTCAGTTCAGTGTTTAATTAAAAATTTTAGATAATAAAAGCTAAGTGCTCTGTCTCATAAAAGTAAAGACTCAGGAAAAAAAAACTCTATCTGTTTCTCAACGTCCTTGTGATGACCTTGCATATGTTGAGGTAACTAATAGTTAGTGGTACAATATTTCACAATATTGATCTCAACCAAGACACTATATCAAACGAATGCGGTTTTATTACTCCCGTATCGCCTCTCTCCTCTCGTGCATGTGCAGCGTGTTTGTCAAGGCTAGGGTTATTTATAGGGTGTATCCCTGTCTCACCAAATGCATGAAGACTGAATCTAATTTTTTTTTATTGTAAGGGTGTGCCTTTAATACCAAATACATAAAGTCCGACATACTGCAACAATCTGCAATATTATATTAATATTAATAAAATAACACACTTCATAATTAATTCATGCACAAAACTCTACCTTGAGGACTGTGATAATTTACAAATGTTGTCTAATGTCAATATATTTTATGCCAGACGTTTAGTTTGAGACACTGAATGCCTGTTGTTGTCATATAAATGTGATCTGTAAATAAAATAAAATAATGTTTACATATAATATTCTGTGGCATTTTTGTGCATGCATTTAAGCATATGTCCTGTAAATTGATTTATTAATAAAAAAAATTAATAATTTAATCCACACAGGTTCTACTGGGATTTCACAATGCTAATGTTTATGGTGGGCAACTTGATTATCATTCCTGTGGGCATCGCCTTCTTCAAGGAGGAAACCACCACCCCTTGGATTATCTTCAACGTAGTATCCGACACGTTCTTCCTCATGGACCTGGTACTGAACTTCCGTACAGGCATAGTCTATGAAGAAAACACCGAGATAATACTGGACCCTCAAAAGATCAAGAAGAAGTACCTGAAGACGTGGTTTGTGGTGGACTTTGTCTCATCCATTCCGGTGGATTATATCTTTCTAATCGTAGAGAAAGGCATCGACTCTGAGGTTTACAAGACGGCCAGAGCGTTGCGGATTGTGCGTTTCACCAAGATCCTCAGTTTACTGCGACTTCTTAGACTGTCCAGACTGATTCGTTATATCCATCAATGGGAAGAGGTAAGATGGGCACCATTGCTGTTTGCCTTCATTGTTGAAGTCAGGATTTTTCAAATTGTGACACTGGGAAGTAACTGAAACACATTTAACTTGATTCAAATTCATTAAGGGTGTATTCACACTAGGAAAATCCACTAGTTCACTTGCTTTGGTCCGGACCAAATACAATGTTGATTTTTTTTTTATTCGGTGCGGTTCGCTTTCATACTGTCGTTTTTGCAAGTGAACCAGAAACTGTAAACAAAACCACACGTGCGTAAGGTCATCCATTCATTGGTTCATCCATTCAACTGTACCAGAGTTCATTTAGAAGCGGACCGAGACCACCTCTTCAGCGGCGGTTGTTTGGTCCGCACCAGAGTGCGATTGCTGTATTCACACCTGCCCAAAATATCCGCACCAAGGGGGGAAAACGAACTTGAGTTTGATTCAATCGAACCAAACAAGACAGGTGTGAATACAACCTAAGCATTTTTTTCTCATTCAAATTTAG